ACCACATAACTTTAAATTTTCATAATTACTTGAACATTTTGGCCTCCCTCTCTGTTGTTTCAGGTGTTCCAGTCAAAAACAATGAGATTCATTACAGAAACCTTTGTTTCTCAAAGAAGGCTTTATACAGAAGCTTATGATGTAAAACATGTCAAAAGAGAGTGGACGTAGTTAAAGCAAGGAAAAGGGAACAAGAATGGGCTTCACCTCAATCTCCCTACTTACTACTGCTTGAGAATATATGCAATCCTTCTGGTTAAGAAAAGAAGAGCTTCACAAAGTGTAGGCTAAAGTTGTCTTGTTACATTTCAGATTTTTTTCTGATGATATTCAGCATTTTGTAAGCCTTTTTAACTAAGCAGTATTTTTAGTTTTAGTTTTTCTAGAGAACCAAATTAAGGCTCTCATCTCTTTAAATAAAATTTGGAATGTATTTTCCGAAATATGTTAAACTAGTAAGAATACAGGTTTCATGGTAGCAGAATTTATTTTTCCCATGTTCTATTAAAAAATTCCATGCAGAACCAGAAAAAAAATTTTTTTAAATAGGGTAACAACATTGTAGACTAAAGATAAAACTGTAATCCAATTTCCAGAGGAAAGTCCACTGACTTCACAACCCAAGCACAAAATTGGAGACATAGCCTCTTAAAACACATGTATCCTGCCATTTGAATCAGAATAGTAAGCACAAACATAAGGCAGAGGAAGAGTTACATTGTTTCACCCTACATGTCCCTAGCTCCAGGAAAGGAGAGCAGAAGTGTTCTTAAACACAGGCAACCACATGCCTCCCTAAGGAGAACGATCTTTTGAGAAAGCAAAACCCACCTACTGTACTTGGCATTTCTGTTTCCCAGATATATGTTTTTAAAAATGGAGTCCAACATGCACACATATGTTCATAGCAGCACTGTTAACAATAGCAAAGACCTGGAACCAACCGAAATGCCAACTGACAATAGACTGGACAAGGAAAATGTGGCATATATACACCATGGAATATTATGCAGCCATAAGAAACAATGAGTTCATGTCCTTTGTAGGGACATGGATGAATCTGGAAACCATCATTCTCAGCAAACTGACACAAGAACAGAAAATCAAACACCGCATGTTCTCACTCATAGGTGGGTGTTGAACAATAAGAACACATGGACACAGGGAGGGGAGCATCATACACTGGGGTCTGTTGGGGTGGGGCAAGGAAGGTTCAGCTGGGGGTGAGTGGGGAGGTCAGGGAGGGATAACATGGGGAGAAATGCCAGATGTGGGTGACAGGGGGATGGAGGCAGCAATCCACATTGCCATGTGTGTACCTATGCAACAATCCTGCATGATCTGCACATGTAACCCAGAACCTAAAGTACAATAAAATATATATATATAAGAAAAAAAAAATGGAGTCCATGTTGCAAAAGGCACAAAACAAATAAAAAAAAAAAAAACACTGAACAGGAAATAAGATTAAACACCTCACTGATGACTAATAAAGTGTTTAAACCTTCTTATTAAAGCATACACTAGGCAAAAATTGTTGCATAATTTTCCTCGATACAAAGCAATCCAGAAGTGTATGTATACATTTGAAGACGTATGTGTACATACGTGTTTATATTATACACATAACTAGGTGAATCTAAGAGTGTGGGTGTATACAAATTATGAATACTTTTCAATATCTCTGACAAACTCCACCAAAAGAAAATAAAATTATGTTAAATCTAAACAAATTAGAATCCTTGTCCCACACGCACATTAAATGGATCAAAGGAAGTTACTTTTCATTGACTGTAAGCGTATACTCATGAATCTTTACACAACTAAGAGACTGGACTCAAATCATATGAATTAAATATGGCTAGAAATGCAAAATAAATTAAAACAATTATAGTAAGATGATTTAGTCAAAGAAGACAAAAATAAGTAATAGAAATGCTTACTATAATAATGTTAATTATTAGATATATAGCAAACTTTTAATCTTCAAGTCAGTATACTAATTTGTGATTAAAAAAAATTACATACAACAATGCTATGTGCCATAAGCAACATTATCTGTTCAATATAAAATTGAAAATCCATTACTAAAGAGAAAAAAAATTTTTCAACTGAAATTTCTAAATCACTCTTCTGATTAAATATGTAAATATTGATTCAGGGAAAACAGTAAAATCTAAAATGAGAATATTTAAATTAAAATGTTTTATAACATAAGGACTAATGCCAAACTGTACTCAGAGATAAATTCATAGCTTTCATATATTCTCATTATCTTATTACAACACAAAAAATAAGTAATCTTAAGAGAAGCTAGATGAAAGAACCATTCTCTCATGGCTCTCTCCCATTCCCCTGGTCCTCTTTAAAAGCAACAACAAAAGACAACCCTAAGGAAAACATAAAGAAAGGATATGAACTACTGATTTCTAAAATAGCAGAACTTATCAAGTTAACAGATATAACTTTTAAAAAAGGGAATCTGGCCAGGCGCAGTGGCTCATGCCTGCAATCCCAGCACTTTAGGAGTCTGAGGTGGGCGGATCATTTGAGGTCAGGAGTTTGAGATCAGCCTGGCCAACATGGTGAAACACCGTCTCTTCTAAAACATACAAAACTTAGCCAGGCATGGTGGTGCACACCTGTAATCCCAGCTACTTGGGAGGCTGAGGCAGGAGAATTGCTTGAACTGGGAGACGGAGGTTGCAGTGAACCGGGACTGTGCCACTGCACTGTAGCCTGGGCAACAGAGCTAGACTCTGTGTCAAAAATAATAATGATAATCCAGCATTTATTTTTTTGAGACAGGGTCTCGCTTTGTCACCCAGACTGAAGTGCAGTGGTACAATCACAGCTCACTGTAGCTTTGACCTCTTGGGCTCATGTGATCCTCCTCCCACACCCTCCTGAGTAGCTGGGACCACAGCCATGAGTAACCATGCCAGCCTAACTTTTCTATTTCTTGTATAGACTGGGTCTCACTGTGTAGCCAAGGTTGGTCTACAACTCCTGGGCTTAAGTGATCCTTTTACCTCAGCCTCCCAAAATGCTGTGATTGCATGCATATAACATGTATGTATAATCTAAAATAAGACTTAAAGCAACGTAAAAGATATTGGAAAAATAAGTAAAAAATATGTTTATATATGTTAATATATCTGATAATAGCCAATTTATTGAAATCATGCAATCATATTTTAATTTTGAAGAAGAAAAAATAATAGGCTAAAGAAAACAAGGTCTGGAGGTAGGTAATTTCTTAAGTGAATTCTTTCAAAACTCCATGTATCAGATGCTTTACATATTAAAAACAAAACTATTCTACAGCACATATAAAGGTAAAATGTTCTCTGTTAACACCATTATTGATAGACCTTTTACTTAGGAATATATATGTAAGAATTAAAAGTACAGGAAACTCAAACTCAAAGATGTATAAAAAAACAGTCATAATGAGGTAGAAATTACCCCAGAAATGCAAATATGCTTTACTAATAGGAGGTGTAGTAATCTGATCTGTCATATCAGTAAAACAAAACTAGGCATTCACTGCTATTAATACAAAAAAGGAATTTAATAACATTTAGCATCATTCTTGATATATTTTATCTTCTTAATGTAATTTTTGAGAAAGGATAAACAATAAAGAATACCTCTCCAAGAATCCTAACCAACAGTATATTCACTGGTAAAGCACCAAAAACATTCCCCAACGAATACTGGATCAAAACAAGGGTTTTGGCAACAAGTACAAATACTCTTCTGTTCTAAAGAGTATGGTGATATATGAAACAAAAGAGGTATCGCTACTGGACAGGACCAGACGAAAGCCATCACTATCAACAGATGATTCAACTGCCTACCTAGAAAATTTAAAAGGATCAATACTGAAGACAACCATTAAGCACCATCAATGACTGGTTGTAACATTAAAAAGCTTCCCATTTATCCCTAATGAGATAATTTTAAAAGATGTCACAATAAGAAAAAATACAAAATATAAAAATTACCTTGATTATAAATGCAAGAGAGCTATATAATGAAAACAACAAAAAGTTATGAAAACAAGAGGCTTGACCAATTGAAGATATCATATGCTCCTGCAAGGCTAAATACAGTAATAGTATCATTGTTTCCCAAACAGGTTTAATTAACAACTAGAAACAATAGCATCTAATCAGGAGCATGTGCTTTACAGGCATCATATCATTTCATCACAACAGGAATCCTATGAAGTCACTACCCACATTTTATTAAAGGAGTAATCAGGTCCCAGAAATATGAAGTGCCTTGTTCACACAGTGAATGAGTGAGAAGATGAAGCCCAGGCTCTGGGAAGACAGTGCTTTCCTAACAAAGATGCTATACTAGTGGACCAGTTTTAAAAAGTGGGAAGGGAAGGAAGAATGATACTAGTAAAAAAATTCTGACATAGAAGAGAGGGAACTAACCACACCAGAAATTAAAATACAGAGTTTTCATAAGTTAAAATTACATGGTAATTTGAAAAAAGAATTAATAAACTTACAGACATGCAATCTATAATTATTGAACATTAGCCCACAAAAGGATTTCTGCTTGCTTTATTTTCTTACTATATCCTTAGAACATATTGGATAGCGTTAAATTCACATAATAAGGGCTTAATAAATAGTTTACCAAGGAAATAATTCATGTTTAATTGGGCCATAAATCTTAGTAATGAAAGTAGAGGTTCATCAAAAGTCAGGCTGCAGGCTGGGCATGGTGGCTCATGCTTCTAATTCCAGTGCTTCGGGAGGCCAAGGTGGGCAGATCACGTGAGGCCAGGAGTTGGAGACCAGACTGGCCAACATGGCAAAACCCCGTCTCTACTAAAAATACAATACATTAGCTGGGCATGGTGGCTCACATCTGTAATCCCAGCTACTTGGGAGGCCCAGGCACGATAATCACCTGAACACGGGAGACAGAGGTTGCAGTGAGCCAAGATGACATCACTGCACTCCACTCTTGCCAACTCACAAAGACAGCCTTTAAAATTTCAGGCTCTTTGCCCCATAACATTTTCATTATAAAAATCCATCACTAATCCATCACATTTGAAGGTTGCAAGATGAAAATACTGAAACCACGACATCTACAAAGTGTTATAATAAAAATTTCAAAAAGCAGAGCATCAGTAACGCTGTACAAAGTAAAAGGCTCCCAAAAGCAAACCAACTACATACCTTTTTAATAAAATTTGAGGAATATGGAAGTTTTTCCTTACTGTCCACCTAATGTAATAATTTTGGAACATCAAAACTTAAATTGTCATTTTAATTACTTTATTTAATAAGACAATTATGTTAGAACTAAAGTTTACTTTTGGAAAACCTGTATGCATTATTACTACATACACTGAGGAAACAGTTTGCCCACAAACGGTCTTGTGGGACCTTTGTGAACTATACTGTTCAATTAGGAATTACTTAGTGTCAGCCCCAACTTGGAGATTTCACAGTATTCTTCTTCCTAGATCATTCTGGAATGGAAAGCAACACACATGCTTACCCTCAGCATTCAACATATATTTTCTGTTGCGGATGTGGTGAGTTATCTATAGTTTTATAATGAATAAATGACATTACTGTGAATATAATTTAAAAGCCTCCAGCATATCACCTATGTATGTTTTAGAAGTTTAAATAAATATCCACTAGCGTCTCCACTGTATTGACTGCACAAACTCTATAATATTGTGTGTTTGGTTCCTTAGAGTACCCCTATTACCTTTTTCTGCACATGGAATGCCAGCTTAGTTACTCACTAATCTCACTTGTTATTGCAAATACTTTCATTTTGCCTAGGTGAAAACAAGCCATTTTGCTTTACCTTCTCTTTAGAACAGTGGTTCTCAGCCTTGGCTATACACTGAGATCACCTGGGACCCTTTAACACTATACCCCCTGAGACTGACTGAATTACCTTGGGGTACAATCTGGATAATGGACTTGTTTTTAAAGTTCCCCACGTGATTTTCATGTGCAGTTAAGGTAAGAATCACACTTTTTCCCCATTAAGAATATCGAATCAAAAATTTAGGTAACTGAAACACAGGGATCACTAAATGAAATATTACAGATTTTGAACAACAATTCTATAATTTGATGTTTGAATTATGCTCTTCAAACTCTAGAAAATACGAGATTTGTCCCATTGATATGTCCAGTATTTACAATCATTAAGTCTTTCCTAGCCTAAAAACTGAAATATCAATGTCACATGACTATGCAAGCCACCTCTTCCTTCCCAAAGGTCTCGATTAATTTGAAATTAATATAAAGTAGCACAATCAGTCAAAAGTGGCCTACCTCACTAGCAAATGATAAATAATTTTCCATTCAGAATTCCCAAACTTTATAATCTGGCAGTCAGCTTTCTTATTTTGTTTTGAAAGTCTTTCACGACCTTACAAACTGTACTGTTTATTTTGTGAGAGTGTGAATAAAGAGAGCTGTTTCCATTAAAAGCAAAACAAAACTGAAAAGGGAAAAAAACACCATTAAAATATTTTATTTCACTTTATAAGCAGTCAGTATATATCAAAATTGCTGCTGATTTCATTTTTGAAGGAAAGAAGCAAATGCCAACATCACTTAAACTGTCCGAGTTCTCATTAGCACAACTCATTCCACCAAATTAAGTGCTGTGGTCTCAGGATACACTGTGGAAGGTTAAAAGAATCAGCCAAAGCAACAAGCAATTTTCCCTGAGATACTGTTTTAAGTCCAGTGTGAGGTTTTACTTTAATATGTTATTTCCAACTCACTCCCCACAGGGCAAGGTATTCCCTATAATGAAAAGCAGCAAATAATACAAGCAATCCCTTCTGTATTTGCACCATAATGTATCAAAGCCCAAGGAGCACAAAAGATAAATCATCCCATCTCCCTAAGAGTATGACGTTTTAGACTATCATCAGATCTGCTGGAAACCTACAGGCCAGAAAGAAAGGCAAACCATGGGGTTTGAAAACTGCTAACTTGTCTCTGGGGCTTGCTAGAAACATTGGGAACGTGTCACTTTGAAGTCATTAGTTCTACACCAACAGGTATTACCATTTTTATGGCGAATAAAGTGAATCTCACAGGTCTCAAAACATGTTTAGGAACACTAGTTCCCACTTTCCCAAAGAAAAGTAAAAGACTTTCACATTGCCTTTATATTATCTTTACTCCATCCTATACCTCATTAATTATTTAAGGCATGGACTGAATCTGACACTTACATATATACAATAGACATCACCTAAGTAGTCAGAAGATGAAAACAAAATAAAACCCAGAAACTACCACTATGTCCAAAGGGAGATAAAAGTGGCCACTTTATAGTAGAGAACATTCAAATGAGCGAGTTGGAGCTGTATTATTTCACCCAATACTACTTCCCCACAATGTTCTTCTCCAGATCAATTTTACCTGTTTACTTCCCCACCATCTGCAATATCATAGTATTATTTATATACATTTCTCAAACTTAGAATTATTACAGAAAACTATGCCAAGTGGTAGGAGTGATTATACAAAATGGTTTAATAAGGCACAATTCAGTGTGGTTACAGTGGGGACACACACTGAAACGTAAAATTCATTGATATATGAATCATATGGAAGTTTGGTAGCTTCCATTTTAATCCCCTCTTCATTATTTCTAGTTAAAAAATAACTAAACAAAAACTAAACTTATGAGAAGAGCAATCAGTGACTAGAAAGCGATAGATTCTGACTAACCAAAGCCATCAGCACTTTAAGTCATATACATCTTAAATACAGTTACAAAGTTAGACTTGAAGTCTGTGAACTCAGATTTATGAGTAAAGGTACTTAATCGCGTCTATGTTGGTCATGATGCTTATTAGGGTCTCTCTAACTTTCAAACCAAAGAATCCTTTTGTTACTTTTTCCTCTGAGGTCTCAATGTTTTTCAAAAGTCGAACAAACAAATTGCCTTTATTAATTAGCACCTGACTTGTATTACTGTTTTTCTAGTTTCAAGACTGATCCTAACTTTAACCAAAGAGCTAGAATCATCCCAAGTTAATCATCATTACTGTTAGCATCGGGGTGGTACAAAGGTAATCAGCATTAGAGACTCAAGCACTATCACTACTGACGTCATTTTTAAATCACTGTTTGTTAGTTCATACTCATATCACGCGTGAACCCCTGGATACGTTCACTTAGGAGGTGTAGCACCTGGAAAGGCACTCTGTCACAGTGTCTACCCCATATGCACCCCCAGAATTTTCTGTAAAGCCATCAGTGGACAATCAGAGGGCTTGAATGTCATAAACTGACCACTATTATTCCTCTAAATGGAAATATTCTAGACAAAAGTAAAGAAATTTGTGTTTTAGTTAACTGCGTTTAATGCTACTAAGCTTTCTCGAATAGCTCATAGACACAACCTCTTACTAACTTTGTGGACCATTTCAGCCAAGTGAAAAAAATAAATAACAGTGCTGCTCGGCTCTGATTCATAGAAACTCACCAGCTGTAATAGTGAAAGGGCTTTGATGAGAAACCTGAGTCCTGGCCTCCTGGGTAAAGCTCTTATCATTGTGATTAATTTTCTTCATAAAGTGAGAACCCTTTCAGATCTCAATTTCTGAGTCTCTAAATTCTCAAAGTTGAGAGAAGTGAGTAAGCAGCAATATTCATTTCAATGACAACAATTTAAGCTATTAAATCTTTTTACTGGATGCCAGACTACTTGAAGATACAGAATAAAATGTACAATAATTAGTGATTTTGCAATTATCTTGGTACTTCTTTTAGATAATCTAACTGTATAATGCAAGACTTCAAGGAAGTTTTGGCATTTCTTATTAGCTTGTGCATCAAATTCACATGAACATAGTTAAATTCACATTCCATCTTGCCCTAGGAGGAAACCAGACTGCCAAGAGTTGCTTCAACTCCCTTTAGTAAGCAGCACATTTTTTTAAAAAGTGGGGGAGGATTGAATAAATGCTTAGGCTATGTGGCATCCGTCTTAATAAAAAAATGAAAGTAATTCACAAAAGTTAACCTGTGCTCAATGCTCTCAGCATTTAGAGTACGGAAATTCCTAAGCATTCTAATTATCTTTTTCATAGAATATATGTGATGTTTTGCTTTTTTTTGTAGTTTGAAATTATCTTTGGTAATGCCTAGATAAGGTTATAACAATAGTCTCCTCGGTGGTATTGTGAATGCACCTGCTTGCCAATTCAAATAATTTTGAACAAACATAATATTTAAACAGGTGGAGTCAGAGAAAACTGCACTATTTGAACAGCCAAGGAAGGGTCTGCTTCATTAACAAAATGCAACAAGTATTCACAGTATAAATCAACTTGTAGTAAATTTGCAAAAGCATCTTCAAGGATAAAATTACCAGGAGAAAATAGTGTCTTAATTTCACCAAACATTATTTTTACACTTGAATACATTAAAAATAAGCTTAAATGCAATACGAATGGTAAAACTAGAGATTGGATGATATGAATTCATACCACAACATATACAAAATTTTAGTTGAGAAGAGGCCATGGGTGACTGCCTCAGAACAGACTCAGTTGGAGCAACTGATTAGGAAGTATAGGATTCACCCAGGAGTGGAGTAGCAGGTTCACAAAAACACCACAGGGCATTCAAAACTTACCTGAGTAATGGTGGTTTTCTCTGTGGCAATTTGTCTGAGATTGGGAAATGCTATTATGACCTATTTCTCTTCTCCAAAATGAGGAGTCTCCCTAGAATCTCAAGATCTCTTCCATCTGTAACATTCTGTGATTCAATACCTAAGGTTAGGTTAGCTGAAGAAACTGTTACTAGTCTCCAACTTAGGGAAATATCCCGCAAGCATTCTCAGAGAATAAATGATTTCAAAATAGTTGCTCAGTTTGTGTGTGTTTTAAAAAGTTGGGTAAGAACACTTAAATTTTTTTCTAAGAGGGCAGATCTTAAGCCTACAACAGTGTTAACTATAGGTGGTTTCATAAGTGTACACTTACCTCCATACTTATACACCTATGAAACCACCAACAGTTAGGATTGACTGGTATGTATAGCTTTTTACATGTCAATCATACCTCAAAAAACAAAGGTTAGCTAAATAAGGGTAGGAGAGTGTAGGCAGACTGAATTTACCCTGAACTACAGTTATAAAGTCAATTCAAAACCTCTGCAAATTTCTAAAAATGCCTCACACACTTAATATTTCAGAAAACTAACAAATGTCTGTGCAGCTAGGTACGCCTTAAGCAAACTACAATCTTTCTGGATCTCCAGGTCTTGTCACAAACTGAGGGAACTGTTACCCATTTCTACATATTCAGCATTCTATTAAAAAGATTTCCTAGATTACCACTTAGGACAACTGGGTTCTTGTTTTGAAACTAAAGTTGGCCGACCTTTCACCTGAAACAAACTTCTTACCTTTTGTGGGAGAAAAGGCATTCTACCCTCCCCCCTCCAAAAGCATTTGTTATTAAGTGGTCATGCACCAATCCTTTATCTTTCATCAGTAATAGTGTGTTTCATTCATTAGGCCTGCCCAAATACCCACAGCCACTCTACAAAGCTGCATGCCTTCTTCAGTGTTTGGATTTGACGTCCTGGCTGTGTGGCAATATAGGAAACGTATGAATTTAACTTTGCTTTTTATTCACTGAGGAAAATTTCTACCCCTCTTAAGGGAAGCTTTCTCTCTAGCCAACAGAAGAAAAGTACTCGGGCTCCACCTGTTTCGCCTAGCTACAGCACTCATTCAGACCCTCGGCAAACCCAGTTCTAGCAATATCACGCCGGGCTAGGTGGGCAGGAATGCACCAGTGCTGCTGGAAATTAAAGTTGATGGGAGCTGCATTCTAATCCGACCAGAGCTGCGCCTGCCGGGTGCAACCCCGGCGCAGCCGGCGCTGTGGGTCTCTGTCTCCCGGATGGTGAGCTGACAGCTCCTGCCAGCCCAGGCTGGGAGGAGGAGAAGAGGTGTCCGCTGCAGCCCCATACCCAGCGGGTGAAAGCACCGTCTTGTCCCCAAAGATTCCTCTGGCCTCAAAGACTAACAAAAATACGGCGTCCTGCGTTTCGCAGAAGGACGAGAGGCGCCCCAGAGCTCTCCCGAGAGAAAACCCCGGGAAGAAGTGGTGGCCGGAGGCGCCGGGTCCCGCAACTCACCTTCTGCTGCCTCCGGGCCATGTCGGTGGGCTGCTTGGCGTTGAAGGGGTACGCGATGCACCTCACGACGAAGACGTAGAGCTGCAAGCGGATCCTCCGCTCCTGCTCATCGTCCAGCTGCCGCTCGGGCTCGTCTCGCCCCTCGCTGAGCACCGAGGGGCTCGGGCTCACGGATCTGGCCGCGCCGCCGCCGCTGCCCGCGCGCCCCGGCGCGTCCCGCCGCCCTTCCCGAGCCGGGGCTGCCGGAGCTCGCTGCGAGCCGCCGGCTGCCACCAGCACATCGCGGCTCTCCTCTTCCAGCCCTTCGTCGGACTCCTCTTCGCTGGAAGACGGGTCTAGCATGGTGCTCGGGGGTCCCCGGCTCTCGGCCCGCAGTCGCCAGGAGCCTCACCACCGCAGCTACGCCCGCGGGTCCTAGGGAGCCGCTGGGTTGGCTGCAGCGGCCGCAGAACGAAAGGAAAACTGGCCAGGGCTTTCCGGACACGTCGAGTTAAATTCAGGAGTGTTTCCTACCGCCAGGGCGAAGGGGGCGGGCGGGAGCCGGGAGGAGGACTGGGAGAGGGAGAGGGGGAGCCGCAGGGATTGAATAGGCGGAGTTAGCGTTGGGGGTGCGCCTGAGCGCCTCAGGAATTGCTCAGCCAGCCCGGGCGAGCCGACCCAGCGGCTCCTCAGAGCACGCCGGCAGAGGCAGCACGCCGGCAGAGGCAGCGCGCCCCGAGCGCCCGGACGCAGGTGAGGAACCTGTGGCGCCTACAACAAGCAACACGTGGAATGGAATGTTGAGGAGCCGCGCGGGTCCGCGGAGTGCGCGTGCGCGCGCCGCCACCGCTGCCCGGGCCCGAGTGCCCCGGCGCCTGGTGCCCTAGCGCACAGTTTGCGAAGGCGGGGAGCGGCTACCCGGGCTGCTCCAAGTACCCTCACCCCACCACCTAGGATCTTTTCTCCCGCAGGTGGAGGTGGAATGGGGGCCGGGGAGGGACTGTTCACTAGCCAGAGGTGAGGCGGAGCCGCCGAGACGTCTCTCCAACCCTAACCTGCTGCCCAGGGTTGAACCCCAGCGCGGAAAACAGGGACTGGAGCCCTCACCACGAAATAGCTTTGCGACAGGACTTTGAAAAGTCTCTCTCGCTCTGCTCTGCTGCCGTTTGATGCTCATGCTGAAGCCTAAATTATAAAAGTCAGAGTAATGAAAAGGGAAAAAAGAAAAAACGAGGCGTACTTATTAAACTGTTCTATTCCTGCAGACTCACAGCAAGGGAGATTTTATATGTGCAAACGACACTGATTCAGCTCAAACATATCTCGATGATTTTCTGGGTTGCGATGCAGTTGACTCAAAACAAGTTGTGTAGTGTAGACATTTATTCAGCAGATATTTGAGCGCCCTCCTGGTGTCCAGCACTGTTAGCCTTTTCCGGAGCCCGCGGTGGACTAAGGCACGGGACACCAGACGCTGATGGTTTTGGCCTCAAGTGGGCGTCTCGCAGCTGCACACAAGCCTGCCTTATCTGCGCAGATTTCTCAGTCCTAGTGCTGGAACCACCTAGGAGTTTCTTGTGGTAATTCTGTATCTTGTGTCCTTAGTCCTGACAGAGAGGGAAATAGGGAAAACAATGCATTCAACACCAGGTGGAGTATGCAGCACCAGGTGGGCAAGGAGATGATAAAGCTCAGTGGAAGTAACACAGGGCAAATAAACGACCAGCTCGGAGCTCCTCTACCCCAAAGGTCAAACAGCAGTTTTAGCTTTTTCAGGCCACTTTCATAGAGTTAGGTACACAAGACAGACTTTCCTCCTGTATTTACTGACATTCTCTCTACATAGGGTAAAAGACAAGGAGGCGCTTACTCCAGAGGAGTCTCGCCTATCTGCCTTTGCCTAATCTTTAACAGGTCCCCTAGTAATAAAAGGTCTTCAGCAAGAGCGCTGTGGCCTTGTCACGAATTGCCAAGAAATAGGAAATCTCAAACACAGAGTATTTAAAAGCAATGTTTTATTTTTGTCAAGGTAAACAAATAGCAATCTTACTCATTTGTCTTAATATCTGATGCTTATCTAGCACTTTGCAAAGATCTGTGAAATTGTTTATCTCATATCCTTATCAAAGTAATAACCTTCCGAGGCAGGTGATATCATTACTGATTGCCCTTTGAACCAGATATTGCACTAAGCTCTTTAGATACATTATCTCACTATTTTAGGTTCCATTGTTCAAATAAGGAAGCTGAGAGTTAGAGAATCCTTTCCTTAGGGTACAGAACTAGCACCTAATGGAATAAGGACTCAAAACAGTTTTCTAGTTTCAAACAGTGTCATTTTCTGCCGTACTTTGCTCTGATAATAAGTCAGTATATTAAATGTCTGAGGTTTACTAAACTAATAAAAATTTCTAGGGACATAAATGTATGATTTGAATATAGCAACTTTACTGCCCTTTTCTTGCCAACCATAGGTACATTTTTCAGTTTCTTTTATTAATTAATACTACTTGATGTGATCACTTATTCTTTTCCCATTAAAGGCAGTTAATAAATCAAATATCTCCAAGCCTTGAAGATCCCACAGGAAAACCTTTAATAATATTTAAAATAGCATAGCATTTACAGTGTTTTCTCCATGAAGATAAAAATGGCTTAAGAGGCGTAAATTAAAGAAATATCTAAAAGACAACAAAGAGAATGTTTAAGCAGTTCATTAATTAAACATCCATAGTTTAAGAAATTAACATATGCTGCTCTCCTCCTGCCGCCCAAGATGCGGAAAGGAAAGAAGGCAAAGGGGAAGAAGGTGGCTCTGGACCCTGCTGTCAGAAGAAGCAGGAAGCCAAGAAAGTGGTGAATCCCCTGTTTGAGAAAAGGCCTAAGAATTTTGGCATTGGACAGGACATCCAGCCCAAAAGAGACCTCACCGGCTTTGTGAAATTGCCCGGCTACATCAGGTTGCAGCAGCAGAGAGCCATCCTCTTTAAGAGGCTGAAAGTGCCTCCTGCAATTAAGCAATTCACCCAGGCCCTGTACCGCCAAACAGCTACTCAGCTACTTAAGCTGGCCCACAAGTATAGACGAGAAACAAAGCAACAGAAGAAGCAGAGCCTGTTGGCCCGGGCCGAGAAGAAAGCTGCTGGCAAAGGGAACGTCCCCACTAAGAGACCACCTGTCCTTCGAGCAGGAGTTAACACCTTCACCACCTTGGTGGAGAACAAGAAAGCTCAGCTGGTGGTGATTGCAAAAGACGTGGATCCCATTGAGCTGGTTGTCTTCGTGCCTGCCCTGTGTCGTAAAATGGGAGTCCTTTACTGTATTATCAAGGGGAGGGCAAGGCTAGGACATCTAGTCCACAGGAAGACCTGCACCACTGTCGCCCTCACACAGGTTAACTCGGAAGACAAAGGCGCTTTGGCTAAGCTGGTGGAAGCCGTCAGGACCAATTACAACGACAGATATGATGAGATCTGCCGTCACTAGGGAGACAATGTCCTGGGTCCCAAATCTGTGGCTTGCATTGTCAAGCTCAAAAAGGCAAAGGCTAAAGAGCTTGCCACTAAACTGGGTTAAATGTACACTATTTAGGTTTCTGTACATAAAAATAAAACAATACAAATTTTCCTTCAAAAAAAAAAGAAATTGGCTGGGCGCGGTGGCACACGCCTGTAATCCCAGCACTTTGGGAGGCCGAGGCAGGTGGATCACGAGGTCAAGATATCGAGACCATCCTGGTCAACAAGGTGAAACCCCGCCTCTACTAAAAATACAAAAAATTAGCCGGGCATGGTGGCGCGTGCCTGTAATCCCAGGTACTCAGGAGGCTGAGGCAGGAGAATTGCCTGAACCCAGAAGGCGGAGGTTGCGGTGAGCCGAG